GCGTTCTAAGCCGTGCAAGTCAGATTTCATTTAAGCTAACCGAATCTTATCTAGGATATCGACACAGAAAACACCTCGATAGAATTGCAACAGAAAGCAGCTTTAGAAATATTCTAAGTATTTCTCTAAATTGTTTTTTTTTTTCAACTGCTACACTTAAAACACAGGATCGTGATTGTTACACAGGGTGAAAAAAGTAATTGTGCTATAATAAAGTCACAAAAACAAATATATAGGGTTTAATTATTAATTGTGTTTATTGCGTGTGTGATTACAAGCTGGAATGATGGCGTGAAGCAAACGAAAGCTGAACAAAGTGAGCATAGGACTTGGATGAGTCAGAGAAATGGCACACAGAGCACGGCACTAAGCAAAATAAGCGCTTTTCTGACTACTCAAAACTTCTACAGTATTTTGAAGTATTTCAACGCCGAGCTAAATATTTGCTTACATTAGGTTGCCTATTAGCTTGCTTTGCAGGAGCCTTGCTTCATTTGTGGCGCACTTAATACTCATAATTTGCACACACTCACTCTTGTACAAGTACAATGAAAACAACAAACAATGTGAAGCAAATAACTGTGAGTTACGTATTATTTCCGTTACTCATGCAAAGCTAAATCACAACCGAAATTTGAGGTACATTTGTTAGAACAACGGTGAGACCAAAATGGAGAATGACCGCTGCGCAGACTGGTTTAATAAGCAAATGAATCGTCACACAAAGTATTTGCAGTGCCAACGAGAGCATGGCGACGCATGTGTGCACTTGCTCTCGGGGCGGCAGACTGGCGTTGAGTGGTGTGATGAGTTCGAGGTGAAGTGGCTTTTACTGCTGAAATTGTTTATTGTGGCAACGAAACTCCCACTGTGTTATTGTTATTGCTTTGCCGACGTTGTTTTTATTATTTGTTTTTTTTTAGTCGTTTTTTTATTGTTGGAATGTTGGCATGTAAATTTAATTTTATTGTTTTACGTATGAATGCTCTGGTGGCACGTGAGGCAATGGGACATAATAAGCATTGCATGTATTTCGTATTGACTTGATTTTATTCTACTTGCTTTTTTTTTTGCTTTACTTTTTTAAATTTAAAAAATTGTTTTTTGTAGATTTTACTCTGGTTGTCATCTCTCGTGCTGCGAGCGACAGCGGCACAACTAATACTCGTAAAGGCTGGCCCATCTTGCATTTTATTTACCGTGCACCTTTGCTAAGTCAAAAGTCGTCGTAAAATTTGATTTTTACTTTTAACACACGAAATTTCAAACTCAAAATAATTGAAATATAAGTGATTGGAAGAGCGGAGAATGCAGCAAGGCATTAAAAGGAAGGCAACGGCGTACGCACATCAATGCTGTTCCATGTTAATAATGTAATTGCTGCATAGCGAAATAAGTAATTAAATAGAATTACTCAATCAATTAATTCAATCACTTTAAAATCATTACATTAGCGGTCAGTGGTTGTTAGGCGCCAGTCCCTGCCCAATTGTGTACTTTGTGTCTTCGCGCGTGCTTTTACCATAAAATGCGAGCACACTTTTTCCATGTTGTTAGCTTTTATTGTATTACAGTGACCTTCCATTAGCCGCACCCACTTTCACTTCATTTTATGCTTAAAATAATAAAACTAATTTTAGCAATCCCCTTTACTTCGCATTTCTCGTTTATTTCGCTTTTTCACTTCTTCATCCTCATAGAGGCTGGCACGAAATTCTTTTCCGTAGTGCTAAGCATCACCAATGCATGTCTGTGTGTGTGTGTGTGTGTGTGACCGGAACAGCACTCACATAATTAAGCGCATTAGTGCTTTTGTTATTCTTTCGCACTTTTCGTTGCGCTCACTTATCGAAGCAAAAGGCAAAACTTTTCCTATAAGCACGAAAATTCGTTACACATTTTCACCTGGTGGCAACTGGTTGTCGCCGACCGTCGCCCGCCGACCATTGGCCAGTGTTGCATGCCCACCTTATCTATGGTCGTCGCATCTGTGTATCGAAATGTAGCGCCGGACGGATGAGTAGCGGCGTAACGGAACTTTATAGAATTTGCTACGCTTCGTTACGGTTAGTTGCTGCCTCAATTTCCTGCCTCACTGCCACGCCGCCGCCGCCACTATCGCATTCAATTGGATTCGCCCGGTCTGTCGTAACGAGTTCACAACTTCCCACACCGAGCAATCTGCACCTCGGGCGCAATTCTCTGCTTTTGTTGTCGCATTGCTGTTGTTGCAGCATTTTTAAAACTCACTTATTTGCTCGTTTGCCGCATGCAGTTGTATGTTAATGTCGTGTAGCGCGCTGTGCTTTTGTGGTAGTTATTGTTGTCATTGCTGCTGTTATTCGAACGTAAATAAAATTCGTTAGACGAATTTAAATTGTTTTCAAATAAACAACTCCAACTGGACTGCTCGCCATCATTCGTGCAGCATACGCGCGCATACGTTATTGCTAGCTTCGTCGGCGGTGGCGGTGGCGGCGGCAGGAATGCGCATGTTAACTGCTTGTTGCTATAAGGACTCTGTTGCTTCACCTTGTCGGCTGCATGCATAGTTTATGCAACTTTTTTTTTATTGTTTTTCTTTTTTTGGTTCTTTATTCGGGACCAATATTTTATGGCTCGTCTGGGCACACTGGCGTATGCTTTCTTCGATCTGCTCTAAGCGCTTCGAGTGTCGTATTTGTAGCTATGTACATACCTAAGTGTGTTTTTGTTGTTGTCCGAGCCAAGTGCTGACCATTAAGCTTAAGGTCCAGCTCGTTGCCTTTTCGTGCATTCTCTTCATCTATTCACTTTATTTCGCCTGCTTCACCTTGATCGTGTTATGCTTAAGCTGCTGTGGTCTCTTCCGCCCCGGCGCGCGTCTTATCATCGAACGTCTGGCGCTTTGCGTGCGCTCGCCGCTTGTTTATTTATTTACAACATTTTCGAATTTCTATCTTCCGACAATCCATTCGATTTTGCATTTATCCCATTGTCCTTCGGTTCGAACTGTTGCACTGCTCAGCTGGCCGTGCATGTCCGGTGGGAGTTCATCATTTACCTCGGTATTCCTTCTTTTTTTGTGTTTTCCACCTTGCCGTGCCACATCTTCATTTGTAGATTTGTCGGTATTTGCAAGCTCATCTGTGTGCTGCCACTGATTTTTTTAGTTTTCTGCAGTTTGTTTCCTGCTCGTGCAAACTTTGTTGGCTCAGCGCTGTAGTGGATACAATTTATGAAAGTATTTGCTTTTCATGTTCTCTAGTGGTACTTTATTTTATTATTTCTCATTGTTCTATTTTCACTAAAACTTTCTACCTATGCAAAGTTGTCGTTGGAGTAATACACTCATGAATCGCTCGTAATAAGTTTGTGTTTGTGCTTTTCAAGTTATTATATGGACAATAATTTAGTCAGAGACCCTTTTTGATTTGAAGCCGGTTTTTGAATTACGAAATGAAACACTTATGTTGATTGTGGAGATGTTTAAATCCTCTCTCTCTCGCTCTCTCTCTCTCTCTCTCTCTCTCTATTTCTGGTATTGACTCAATTCGCTCAGTATTACTGAAGTGAAGCCAGAAATAGATTAGATAAAAATCATTATGGGCTTAGAACAATCGGTCAAATTTTCCAAATCTAGTTGCTCGAACTTATTGCTGAAATCTATAAGTAAGACTCGTCCTGCGTAATATAAATGCGTGTGAATCGGTTAAGGTTTTATTTTATCTCAAGTAGCTGTTGGTAATGCAATTTGAAGTAAAAAATATTTGTACTTGAGAAAGCCAATTACACTTTTCGATCTATTACAAGCTATGATTTTCAACGAAACAGAAATAATTTTTAATATATGTATAATAATATATTACAGAGAGAAAGAGAGCATCGAAGCCTTTTGAAGTTTTCTACAATACAACAATCTGTATACATATATGAGTGATATATAAGAATATTTGATTATGATCAACATAGATATATTAGTACTCTTCTCGAAGCAAGTTATTCAATTCAAAACGTTAAAGGAACATCAAATTTAATTATTTTTGACTGTAAAAATATATATATATATATTGAACTGACAGTTGAAAAATTAATTAGGAGAGTTAAGTTGGGGAGAATACCTGTTAGTGGCTGCTTTTCGACCATTTTATAGTTTATCACAAAACTGTTTGGTATTAACACTTTTATAGCGGTTCAAAAGTACAACTATATATTTAGCAATAATCAATTAGACAGTATATGACATTAAAGCATTGTAGGTTGTGGCAACTGAGAGAATACGCACACATTCATTAGTAGACCGCGACTGTGCAACGTTGGGGCGTGTCGCTAATTGTCTTATAAAATATTTACAACATGAAACACATATTTTTGAAATTTTAAAATAAATACTTATGCTTACTTATATGCGAAATATTATATTTATAGCACATTATGTTTAGAGATATTCTATATACATATAAAATATAAATTTAATCTACATACTCTCAATGGAAATTACAGTAAACACTTCGATAAATAAATAAATTTTACATTTCTACTTTTAAAACTAACATTTGAACTGATTCAATGCGAACCTTTAGTGCTTCGAATAGATTATTGCACTGCGCGCCTAAAAGTATGTGATATGTTACTATATTAATGAAAATATCAAAATTTTGTTTAAAACTAATTAAGTTCTGTTCGTTATTTTATAAACAAAAAAATAATAATAATAACAAAAAATATTGCAATAATTCTGTGTTATGCTAAATATGTTATGCAATAAAAAATGGCTTTGAATAATGTAAAAAAAAAAATATTGTACAGTAAACAAACGAAAATAACGAAAGATTTTATGTAAACAGTTACAAGTTGTCAATAGAGAGTTTCAATTAAATAAGGCAGTAGCAAATATAGTTTATAAAAATCATAAGAAAAATATAAATGATGCAATTATGTAAGTAGACGATTTTCATTCATTGTTTTTTCTTTTAACTATGTAAATATAATAAAAATTAATAATATTTGTGCAGACGTACCAAAGAGGGTAAATAGAGCATCAGGCGTGACCATCTACAGAAAAAAGAGAAAATAGAGTTTCAGTTAGCGAGAGTTGTTTTTTTTTGTAAAACGTAAAACAAAAAATCAAAAATAGAGTTTGTAAATGTTTGTTGATATTTGCAGTTTCACTAATATTCAGCAAACAAATCGACTATATGACTTCGAGAATGGAAGAGAGAATGAGCTAAACAATTTATGATGAGAGATATTGATACTAAGGGAGAATTGAAAAGGCAAGTGTTGATAAAACTTGCTATTATATAATGCATATATATTAGTTTGCAGGCATTTCTTAATTAATGACTTTGATAGTTCAGCGAATTGATATTATTGTCTGTTATTAAAGGATTCTCCGTACTAATTCACTTCATTGAACGACAGGCAATTTTTGCTAAAGTGAATTTGATAAATTTTCGTCTATTTTTAATGCGGTTATTTCATTTTTTTGTTACCATATACCATAATTTATAGTATATGTATGTAAGACCTTTTTTACTATTCATTGTCGCCATGTCATTACTGGAAGGTTCACAGCTGGAAAATATGTAGTATGCATTACGGATTCAATTGCTATACGAAAGAGTATTTGGAATAAACTCGTAATGGAAATTGGAAACTTGAAAAAGATACTACTTGTAATATATTTAAATATCTATGTAGGTATCGTTGATGAGATGAGAAAAAAAGGAAGTGAAAGTAGAAAAATTATGAAAATCAACTTAAACTTGGAGAAAAAGATATATTTTCCTCTCACACTACTTTCAGTATAAAGAAAAGAGTTTTTGCGCTGCTTGCAGAATCTTGAAATTTGAAAATAAGTAGTGAAATTTTTGGTTAAAACGTCGATTTTATTGGTTATATAACACATAAAATAATTGAGAGCGGAAAATTTAGAAAAGAGTTCGAAATGTTATGGAAATGATATAGCTTGAAAGATTCGCCAATTATTTTATTTCATATTTTGGGAACAAGTAACGAGCAGTTATGAGGTGTAACAAACCGAAAAAAACGAAAATAAACGAAAACGAACGAACCTACAATGGAGTAAATAAGATGAACAAAACCAAATATAAGATCATAAGCATATTAAATACAAAAACAACATTAAAAACTAGAAATAATTAAAACAATGCAAAATTCTCTAATAACATTAAGTTATTCATAAAATATTATAAATAAAATAAAAAATGTTTTGATGAAATATATACAATATATATTTTATATTGGGTTACAAAGAAATTACTTACATGATAGTAAATACAGTAGTAAGCTCATAGCATGTTTATGTATATGAGAGCAACGATTGTAGCGTTAGCGACTTACCTCTTCGTTTAAATTCGAGACCAGCAGCACGTTGGAGAAGCCGCGCAGTGCGGGAGTTGCTGTTTGTAGAGCACCACTATTGGCCAGCGCAAAGGCGCTCAAATTCGGTATACCGCTATTGTAACCGCCAGCGAGTGGGGTGCCGATGCCGAGTGCGAATGGCGGCAATACGCCGGGAGCACCGAGTCCGTTCACTGCAAAGTAGTAATTTTGATTTTTAACTTTTTTTGGAAAACAAATTGAAATCGGCATTCCTGACGAAGGGTGGGAGGGGACGAAATATTAGGAACATGTGTCGGGGGTTGGGCCTTTTAATTTTGAATATGTTCTAATTTTATGCTGCATGGCGTTGCGGCGAACTTCAAACAAACTAATGTAAAGACATTTCGGAATGATTTGTGGATGGATGTTGAAAGCCTAACAAATAACTAAGGTGTGTGTGGTCGTGTTTATAATTTATTGAAGAAATTCGTAAAATTTGTAGAGCCTGTTTGCCTAGTACTTCCAAAAGTATTATCTTATAGGTAATGCATGTTAAATTATTTTTGTAATTTTGAGTGGTGTAACGTCCCTGGTATTGTCCGTAGATGTAGCCTTAGGGACTAAGGGAGTTTTGGTTTTAAGTTATATAATACTACAGAATAATTAATACTATTTCTTAAAAATATTTTATAATTCTCAGCGATAGCGTTGGACAGCAGGAGAGCAACGGAGTAGACAAATAGAGAGTAGAGAAAACCATCGTATAAAAAAAAAAAACAAAAAAATTCACAAATAAACTCGACCGAATGTGAGCAATTCTTATTTCATCAAAAAAAAAAAGGCGAGAGCAAATCAACTCAAGTAAATTTATAATAAAATATGGAACTAATAGAGATTAAAGAAAAGAGATACAATTAAAATGCAATTCCGCTCTTATAATTTTGGTTTTTGCTTTTGTTTTAGCTGACAAACGAAAGATAAAAAATGAAAAAAGGAAAAAGTAAAAGTGTTACCTATTTTATCACCTGTTAGGGATGGCCGCTGTCGGGCCGCGATCAGGAGTAAGTCATTTGCATTTACCAAGCCGCCGGCGGTGGGCATTATATCGGCACCCGGTTCGCCTGGTGGCAATGATGGATTTGTGAAGTCGCGCGATTTATCATTGTTGTATTTGACATTCAAAGCTGTCAATTTGCTGTTGTCGATGCGCAGTGTGCAGCAACCGTTATAGATGTTTTGGCCGTCCAAAATGTTCTTGGCATGCTGGGCCGAATGGGCGTCCGGATACTGGATCAATGCCTGCAATTGAGAGCGTTTGTGCGGGTGTTTATTTATATTAATAGAGCTTTATACAATACATATATATATATGTGTGTGTGTGTGTGTGCGGCGAGCATTAAGTTAATGATGTATGAGCGTGCAACAACAAGTACAACAAATGACTTTCGTTGAAGGCATTCACACATTCACGCTTGATTTGGTACGCAAGCGAGCATGTGAACGCTTGTACGCACACACACGCATACAAATACATTTAAATTCGCATGAATATATGCATGTGTGTTTTTGCTCGCGTTTATCAATTATGAACGCTGTCGCGCTGTGGTTGCTACTTGTCATCTGACATAAAATGAAATGATATGATGCCTCACAGACAGCCTTTCACTTGGAACAACTGCACATTTTTACATACTTGTACATATACCAGCACACAGGTATACCCACATATTTCGGATGTATAAATATATTTGCTTATCGGCGTTTTTGTGCATATTTACCTGGAATGAATTATTCTTTGTAAATGTAACGATTTTCAGCACTTTGCCGAAACGCTGGAAAATTTGATGTAAGATATCCAGCGACACCGGATACAGCAGCGATTCGACAATGACGCGCAGCACCGTGTTCGGTCCGCCGGCTGTGGAGTTAGTGTTGACTGCGTTCGAGTTGTTCTGTAGTACAGCGATGGTGCCATCGGCATTGGTGGTGGTGGCGGTGTTGCACAGCGGTAGCGGTGAGCCAGATGCTGGCGACTGAATGCGATAATCGCTGGACACGACAGCGGTCTGCAAAAGGAAGGACAAAAACATTAATTTCAATTTTACATTTTTACTCGAAAACATTCATTTTATAAATGTGCATGCGTAAGTAACGGAGAACCTATTTATATATATATATATATATATGGTATACATATATATGGTATACATATATACCATATATATTTTTGTGACATTTAACATAACCTTTAGGCATTTATTTGTAATTAATGATGCAATGATGCTTTTTCACACCATTATTGCAACCTAAATTAATGATAATTTTTTTTCTATTTTAATAAATTTTCATAAACTCGTTGGCGAAAAATCTATTGCTCTAGAAAAAATTTGGCCGTACTTGTTTTCCATTTTTAATTCTCATTCTTATTTTCTAATTTGTTTACTCAATGAAATTTTTTTTTTATTATTTAGTAAATTGGATTCACCGTTTAAATTTCATTATTAATTTATTTTAATAAATATTTAATTCATCAAATGGTTTTACATTTCATATAATATTTTTAATTGTTTGAATAAATTTTATTAGTTTTATTTTTCAAGTTTTATAGAATATTTTATTTTTTTTAATTTTAAAATTTTTAAGTTTTATTAATATTTTTATTTTGTTATAAATAAAATTTAATTTTTAAAATTCTTTTTAGTATTTTTTTAATTTAATTAAACGTATAATTCGCCAGATTGTATCACACAGGCAAATACTGCATTAACAAAAAAATAGAATCAACCTATTATTAATTTTTTAGTTCCGCATTTTTGATTATAAAAAAAATTTTCTTAAACATCGGATTGAAAATTAAAAGAAGAAATTTTAACTAAATTAACTTTTATATATTTTATGAATAATTTTAATTTTACTTTTTTTAAGATAATTACTATTTTATTTTTATTTTTTTTATTTAAAATATTACTTTTTTAAAATTAATTTTTAAATATTTGGTTTTACGTTTTTTCTTTTTTTAATCCTTATTCTTATTTTCTAATTTGTTTACTCAATGAAATGTTTTTTTTATTATTTAGTAAATTGGATTCACCGTTTAAAATTCATTATTAATTTTTTTTAATGAAAATTGAATTAGGCAAATTGTTTTACATTTCATATTTTAAGTTGAATAAAGTTTATTAGTTTTTTTAAGTTTTATTATTTTTGAATTTTTTTTAAATTTAAAATTTAAACTTTTTAAATTTTTATTTAATTTAATATTTAAACTTTTTATATTTTTTTAATATTTTTATTAAATTTTTATGATATTTTTATTAAATTTTTTTAATATTTTTATTAAATTTAAAAATCAAACTAATTTAATTTTTAAAATTATTTTTAGTAAATATTTATTTTAATTAAATGTATTGTAATTTTTTTCAAGGTAATTACTTTTTTAGTTTTAATTTTTTAATTAAAATATTAATGTTTTTTATTAGGTGTTCTATATACAGAGTTATTGTAATAAATAATTAGTTTTTGTTATTTTTTAGTTATATAAAATTTTTGTTGATTTTTATTAAATTTGAAAATATTTTTTCTATTATAATAATACTTTTAATTTTTATTTAATAATTTTGAATTTAATTAAGTTTTTATTCGTAAAAATTCTTATTTTTAATTGTTTGAATAATTTATAAATTTTTGTTATTATTTTAAAAAAAATTTTTATGCAAAACAATACTATACTTTAAGCATATTTTATTTTATTATATAAATTATTATTATTTGGAATCTATTTTAAAAATGTTCATATCACTGTACATATATATAATTTATTATTGTTGTAGGTTAAAACTTAGTTCAAAGAAAGTTGTGGCAGCCGCTTAATTAAGTAAATTGGTAAGTTGTCTCGCATAATAGAATTACATAGAATAAGAGGGTACTAATTGACTCATTGACAGGGTTTAGCAAAACTTCCTATTATCTACATTTTTATACGCTCATTAATATTATTATTATATTTAATTTGTAGGTTTATTTTTATAATATTTATATTTTTCGAATCAATGAAGTTCTCGCAGGGTCACTGCACTACATTATGGTAATGTTTAATAGAAAAGCTCGCTCATAAATCTCAATCAGAATCAATAAATTCATATTGTTCCATCGCGAAATAGAAAAGAAATCGATACGAAAAAGAGACAAGATAAGAAAAATGTTTTCATAAATATATGATAGCCGCAAATTATATATACACATACACACAAACGCATTTGTTAAGTGAACCTTCTCGAGGAGTCTATTGTGAAGGCACACGCGGACATGTATATAATTCAAAATCACTTCTATGTATATATGCGTGTGTGTGGATAGGTGCTGCTTGCCAATAGGAGAGAGCATCACAATATCGGAATACGATTTAATGACATTCGGAAGTGAATATATTGCAGGTCGTGCTGAATTTTGATTTGAAAATCATAACATAAACACGTTGGCTTTTCTATATAAATAATTCACACACACACATACACATATGATCAAAGCAGAAGACCAAACAAAATCTGAAGAGGTTGCCCCAAGTGTGCGATTTCCGTTTGACGACAGGTAACGGACGACGGCGTAAATAAAAGTGAATAACGGTATGCGACATAGTCCAACAAACGCATACATGTAACGCAAAAGTAAAGGTATAAAAATTTATGAATATATTCAACTGAATAAATATGTTTGAGTGTACGCGTGAGTGTGTGTGCGCAAGTGATTCCCACAATAATGCGCTGGGCGGCGATGTAAGGACGCGCCGTGAAGCGACAGCACTCGCAACTACAGACAAGACGTTGGTGCTTGGCTCAAGTGCACAACAATACAAAAACGAAAACAGCACAAAAAAGTAAGTCGCAAGCAAATGGAAGAGAGGCAAGCCAGGGCCAAGTCAAATTATAGAGCGTGCACTGGCGGAAGGAAGTGGGACGTACAGATGTGTATATTAGGGTGAGTTTAAAGAACGACTATTTGTTTCCGCTTGGTAATTTGAAAAATCGGTTCTTCGACATCTCTAAGAAAGTCTCTCCAAGTATAAGCTTTTAATTGTAACGGGAAGCTTCTCTGACTTACAGTTTTCTATTTTTTTCTTATTATCAGATAGAAAAATTCAAATCTCGTTTGCAACCACTTTAAAAAATATAACGTTTCATAGATTTTGTAGAAAATTTACTGCTCTACAAAAAAAAGTCTGTAATGATTTTTCGTAAACCTAACCGAAAAGATATTAAACGGTTGCAGTTTGATTGTTTAAAGGCAATTGTTTTCTTATGAATTTTATAGCTCAATAAAGAAATCTTTTTAAATTGAATAACTCACAGTTTTGTAGAAAATTGAATGCTCTATAAAAGTGTTCTCTAACGGAATCTTCCCGTTACAATTAAGAGCGCATATTTGGAGAAAGTTTCTTTCAGAGTGCTAAGCGAAAAAAATATTCGTTTTTGGATCTACCCTAGTGTATATGCTTGTATGTGTGTATGTATTGGTTTACGGTAAAGGACACTTCAACGAAGAGGATGACGCTGTTATTGCCAAGAATATTGCAAATATAATAAAAATTGATTAGAATTGCGAGGGCATGATATGCGTCACACGCACACATACATACATATATATATATATATATAGATATATACAAATATAAATATAAACAACAAAAAAGGTGGAATACTTTTATAGATCAGTGTGTGAATTTATAATGCACTTATGTATGGTTGTATGTGTGTGTGTGCGTTTGTGCGGCTTGGCAGCACTTGACAGGCAATCGAAGCCAAGACTAAATGAATGGCGGCGCGGACGACGGGCTTAGGCGAAAGATATGCCACAAGAAATTCGCACGCACAACACACACCTTCACACACATACACACGCACGCACACTCAGGCGCTTCATAGCGAAATGGATATGTTAGCCAACGTGGCAGTCAGCGCCAACATTGCAGATTTTTTCATCTACTTCATTTCTTTTACTTATACTTATATCCTTCCTCCTTCCGATTTTACTTAAAAATCGCTTCCTCTGCAGGAGTTTGTCACTCCTTGTTGCTTTTGCTGTTTTTGTTTTAGCATTGGCAGCAAAAAAACGACGCGCGGATGAATGAGCTCTGGATTCCATGAATGGTTGAGTGTTGAATGACGCTTTAAATGATTATGATTATTAGATGATATTTGATGATTGCGCGCTGTTACGCTATTGAATATAATAGCAGAGCGCAACGTGGGTAGCGGAAATGGAAAAAAGTGGCATCATCGCGCAGAGAAATGTGTTGCTTAGAATTTTAGAAATGTGAAAAGGCATAAAACACGTTTTCAATCGATTCACCGATTTAGAGGAGGTAAACGGAAAACAATATTTTGATGTTATTATAATGGTTGTTGTTTAGAAATATGTTTACAAAAACAAACAAGAAATGTCTTTCTATAATTAATTATAGAGAGGAAAGAGCTTCAGAAGTAAACTTTGGCTGATTTCTATGTTCTTATTTTTGTGATTTTGAAAGTGATTGCTGTTTATGGCGTAAATTGGCTAAAATGTCGCAAGTGAGCCTTAATGAATTGTTAATAATAATAAATTTTAATTCAAACTCAAAATAATGACCACAAGTAACAGCTGTTTAACTGTTGCCTTGCATGGCAACTAAAAGCAGTGACGTCACTACTGCCGCCAAAAGTGCCACAAATATCGTTTGCAATCTGTTACTCACTCAAAGTCTCATAAAATAGCAAATTATTCATGCATTTCTATTTGCAAAGAAAAATATTGAAGCAAAATGTTTAACTGCATTTTAAACGCCGACAGCTATCAATCGGCTGTACAAAATCGAATGTTTTGCAATTCAAATAAATTTGCTTGCTATCACTCTCAGCTAAAAGCATTTTATTTTATTTCGTGAAATTTGCTATTTGTATTGGTTAGAGTGAATCGCACACATATGTACAGATATTTTATTTGCATGCAAAGAGTTGTTATCGATTTATTTTATTACTCTATGGAAATGAAATGAAAAAATCACACACATACATACATATTATATATGTTACAT